CAGCCTGGTTCCAGTTACAGCCGGAGCGGGGCTCCGTGCCACCACACCGCGCCACGCCACACCACGGCGGCGCCGAGGCACCACCGAGCCAGCCCCGGCACCTCCGGCTGCGGCAGCGCCTCTCAGCGCATCCCCTTCCCTGCCTTCAGCTCTGCAGCACTGCACATCCACTCTCCGACACCTGTGAGCAGGTGAGGCAGCCCAGCCACAGCTCTTGTCACCCCAGTCACAGCTCCAGGGAGCACAGGGATAAGCGGGACCCCTCCAGCAGTGTGACAATGATACAGCCCTCCAAGCCCCCGAGGCACAGCGGGGTCTTTCCTTTCTCCCCAAGCACCCATCACCCCCCTGACCTGGCTAATTTCCACCCTCTCCAGTTCCTGCCTCCAAAATGAGGATGGAGACCCAGCACATGAGCAATACAGACAATCCCTGCCTGCCAGCTGCTGCCTGCTCCCCACCAGGGAGGTGTTATGGGAGGAGATAGGCCAGAGCAGATGCTGGGAGAACAAAGCAGCTGGGCACGGTGCTGGCGTGCACCCAGGAATGTGCTGGCTGGCAGCCCTGGAGCCGGGTCACAGCCCTGTGCCACCACCTCAGTCCCAAAGCCAAGCCCTGGAGCTTTCCTAGGCTAAAACAGCCCCGAGGTAAAAGGAATGTGGGGAAGGGGTGGTGGGAAACATGGGGTGGAGGGTTCCAGGGAAGGAGGGAGCGCTCAGGGGAGGCTGCTCTGCTCTGGAGGGCAGTGGGGGAATGGGGGCTGTGGAGAAGGTGGGAAGGCAGGTGAGATAAGGGAGGGTAAAACAGCAAGCAGCCAGGCAGGGACAGGCACGGACACCACACACTTTGACCTGAACAGCAGAGCTCGCTTTAAAAGCCACCGTCACACACAAAGGTTCCTTCCCAGCAAAGCCCCCGTGGCACCCAGAGCCCAAGGGAGGTGCCACCCATCTGGGGCACCCAGAGCCACTCACCTGGGGCACCCAGCTGTCCTGCATGCCCTGGGGCTGCCTCGGTGCTCTGCCAGCCCCATCCCTCCCCAGCAGCTGCGGGACCGTGGCTGCTGCATATTTGATGAGTGCTATTATTGTCATCTCCACTCTGAGCAGAGCACGGGAGCTGATCTTCCCTCACAGAGCTGCAGGGGTGGAGGGGTGAGGGCCTGTGCTCCCTGTCCCTTGCACCCCTGGTGACACAGCTGGACTGTCCCACATCCCTCACAGGATGTAGGTGAGCCTCAGTGTAGCCCAGATGTGAACAGCTGGGAAATGGCCCTGACCCATTCTGGCCCCCAAACCAATGGGAGTTTAGAAGAAATCACAGAACGTGGGAGTGAGGAACAAATGCACCTCCTCACAGTGGTGGGCTGGCACCAGCCAGCTGCAGAGGTTCTGGCAGGGATCTGACACCCATTACCCCAAAAATATCAGAGCATCCTCTCCTCCCTGCATGAGCAGCACACTCCATTCTCCCCATCCCAGCACTGGGCTCCTGCATCCCACCCAACTGGGGACCATTTTCCTGCAGGGATGGAGCCTGGCTCTGCCAAACGCAGGGGCAGAGAGAGCATCGTGCTGCAGCACCCGAGCCGGGAAAAGCTCGGCTCCCTGCTCCTGCAGGCAGGCACGTCCCAGCCGTAATGCGGTGGGTATTTATTATGCTGATTCCTCAGAACGCGAGGGCTTAACTGCAAATTACAATCAATAGCCCCGATCCCCTCGGGGCAGGTTCATCATTTAGCAGGCGCAACCAGAGGAATTCAAAACTATTTGCCGGCCATAAATCCTCCCCTCCGCAGCCTCCCCAGCCGGCTCCGTGCCACTCCCGATGGCTGCTTGGGGTGACCCTTGTCAGCATTTGAGACAATTAAGCTGTCACTGCGGATCGTGACTCTTATATACGGCCCTGAGCAGCACTTTGAGATGTCACCGTGATGGGGAGAGGGGAGCTGGCTGAGGCGAGCCTGCCGCAGCAACCATCTCTCATTGAATTAAATGAATGTATTTGGAGGCAGAGTCACTCTTTATTACCTTGCAAACGATTCCTGACTAAATTAAATTATAAGAGGAGTGTTCAGCCAATCAAACCTGCTTGATTGCCTGGAACAGGCATTTTAAACAGAGCACGCCTCGAGAGTCGTGGCTGGCTGCAGCGTTAGGTGGAGGGAGGCTGATGGGCTCTGGGGAGGCTGATCCACCCTGCTCCACACCTGGAGGATGGGGCAGGATGAGCACAGCCCCTGGGAGTGCCTGGAAGATGATGAGGGAATAATGAGCCTGGAAGAGCAAGGGAATGGCAAGGAGCACAGAGCAAGGTGCTGAGGGCAGCTTTCTCTGAGCATCATTCAGCCAAGGCTTTCCTCCTACAGCAGAGAAATGCAGGGTGCTGCTCTTCTGGGGGGCAAACCCACAGCTCCTGCCTGCACCCACCCTCCAGAGAGCCCTTCTCCCAACAAACAGGGAGAGCGCGATCACATTTCCCTCCAGCAGCTCCCCAGTGAGGGGCTCTGGTCAATGCACACAATCCCAGAATGGTTTGGATGGCAGGGAGCTCAGAGCTCATCTCATTCCAGGGACACCTTCCACTACCCCAGGCTGCTCCAAGCACTGGCCTGGGACACTTCCAGGGATCCAGGGGCAGCCACAGCTTCTGAGGGCAGCCTGTGCCAGGGCCTCACCACCTCACAGGGAAGAATCTCCCCTTAACACTTCACCTGTATCACCCCTTTCAGTTTAAAACCATTCCCACTTTCCTGTCAGCACATACCCTTGTGAAAAGTCCCTCTCAACCTTTTTTACAACCCCCTTTAAATACTGAAATGCTGCAAATTCCATGAGCCACAGGAGGTTCCAGTACAGTCCTAATGGTGCAGCAGATTTCCCCCTTGCCCTTTGGATCTTTTCAGGACTGGGAGATCTCTTGGAGGCAAACTCACTCCAGCAGGAACTGCAACGTTTGCTGCTTTTAACATAAGTGCAGAACAATTAGGGAAGCTCCTGGAAGAAGGATACTGCAATTAAATGGTGCATTTTCAAATGCAGCTATAAACTTGCTGCCAAAAAAGCTACTCTCTCTGAAAAAAGAAGTTGGCTTCTTCTAGCTTAACTATTTTTACTTCATCCCCATTCCAATTTTAATCATGTATCTGTTCATTTTGAAGAGGATAAAATGCCCATTTTCCTAAATGAAGCTAATTAGGCAGAGGGGATTTTAACAATGAAATGCCAAAATCAATTTGAAACTCACACCGAGGTAGCAGCAGCTATTCAAGGACAGGTTTTAGCAGGTAGCACTGTGCATTTCAGCCTCACACCAAGCAGCCCCTGGCTCCCAGCTGAGCATGGAGCCCTGTCAGCAGTTCTGCCTGCCCAGCTCTGTGCCAAGGCTTGGCAGGCTGCAGGATTTGGATGGAAAAGTCAGAAACTCAGGGACAAAACGAAACCAAAATTAGGCTTTGTGAGGGTAACTCTTCCTGCGTGACCTTCAGGGAAATGGGAAGGGTGAGTTAATGTGCTGGAACAGCATCCCACCCAGCTCACACCGGGAAGGGGCAGCTCTCCACTGCCAGCCAGGGATAATGGGGATCATCTGGAGCTCGCTCTCCTCTCTGTGGTCAGGATTTCCTCTGCACCCCAGCTGTGAACAAAGCCAGGAACAGGGAAGGGAACTCACAGAGTTCAAAGTCACCTTCTCAGCTTGGGCATTGTGTATAGGATCTGTTTATCTCCCATCACCAGTCTCTTGCAGCCACTTCACCTTCTATTGCCCCCTAAATCTCCTGTGACAGCATCCAAGATTCCTCAGGTGGCCAAAGGTAAAAAAGAGAGTTAGGAGACAAACCAAGCCATCTACCCACCATTCACATGAAATAACAACTTTTTATTTTCTCAAATAAAATAATCCTTCCATTTCTGCTCAATCAGGTTGTGAGGGGTGGGGAGGAGCAGGGAGGAGGGAAGGAACCCTGCTGAGACAGGTGTCACACCTGTCCTCACAGTTCTGCATCCACTCAGACCAAACCCTTTTCCAATGAAAGAAAATAAAAGCTATTGGCAGCTCTTGATCCCAGAAGGCAAGAGCTGTCCTCTATCAGGCACTCTGAATTGTTTAGCAACAGTATTCAATGGAAAAGCATGATTACAAAAATCCCAGATTTCTGATGAACAATATCCAGACAAGCAATGTTTAACAGGGCTGGGGTAAAACTCACAGCATGGGGTGGTACCTTGAGCTCCAAAGAGCTGCAACTGGAATTTAGGGACATGGCTGATGAGACCTCCACCTTGGGGACTGAAGGGCAGGACAACTCCTGCCCAACAAAGGAGGAAGCTCCCAAGGCAGCTCCTCAATGAGTGAGATGCCACAAGTGAATCCTCACCCCAGACTACAGCTCTTGGATCACACCCCACTGCAGTCTGGCCAGGCTAATTAACCATTGCCAGTTTAATTTCTCATCTCTCAGTACCAGGGTGTCCTACAAACCCCACTGCAAGGCTATGGAGAGGCACAGAGTGCCAGGTTTTAATGCTAATTGAGGTGGGATTATTAAAAATTGGGGCTGTCTCAGCTGCAGAGACGCGTCCAGTGAGCAGGGGAGGGAGAACTCTGGTTCTGCTTCAGATCAATGCTTAAATTAAGTGAATGGATAAGCAGCAAAGCATCAGCAATGTTCTCTCAGCCCAAAGCACAGGGGCAGAATTTTACACACAAACCCAAACACTTCCCACTGGGAATGCACATGGATTCATGTGCAAACCCCACCAGCGACAGGACACTGCTGGCTGTGGAACTGTGTCCTAGAAGAACTGGCTCCTTTCAAATTTTTAAGAAACATCACTTGGTCTGAAATGCTGCCAGATGGAAACCCATCTTCCCCATCCCCACCTGCAAGCACAGCAGCCTCATTTTCTGCCTTCCTCCAAGAGAAGGAGCTTCACAGAAGCTTTCTTGGCTCTGGAACACATCTCCCTTTTTCCTTTCCTTTTTTTTTTTTCTTTTTTCTTTTTTTTTTTTTTTTTTGGTGTGTTTTGTTTTGTTTCTACATGGTCAGTTCCAATTGCAGTGATAAAAGGCAAGGCCAGGCACCAGCAGTTACTTCTTTACGATCTGAATGACATCTTCATGCTCCATCATATGGGTTAAACCCACTCTCTGAGGGCTGTACTTTGTGCTTGTCCCCTTTGAAGCAAAAAAGGGGGAGAAGGGTTAGAAGAGCAGTCAGAGACACCTGAAGACAGGGATTCCAGCTGCTGTCCAACACTTACCCACACCAAGGCATATTTGAACTGGCTGGCTAATGATCTGTGAATCCGATGGCACTGCAGGACAGACAGGCAGAAGTTGAAATATTTACATTTATCACTTTGCAAACAACTTTTTCAATACCCAGGAATTAAAACAAACTCAAGTCTATGCCAGAATTTACAATAAAGACTTTAAGAGCTGGTTAAAAGCAGTTGAAGCCATACAGAACAGACACAGGAATCACCAGCCCACATAAAGCCCCTTTCCATTGTTTCCATGTGCTTTTTCACTGGCTGCATTAAATAATTACTGTTTAAACCTTTTATAGCAGCTGTGAAAGAAACCTGAGGCAGACAAAAGGCAACAAAAGGAGAAGCACAACCAAACACTGACATGTCCTGAGCTTTATGGAGCACAAATCACAGCAGGTCCAGGAGGAACTGCCTTCTGCACACAGGGAAATGTAAAAGATGCAGAAAAATTACCACATGTTCCACAGAGGCTCCTTTCCTTAGAATAATGGCATCTGTAAAGTCTGGTCTCTCTGTGGAGAAGCAGAAGGAGGGGAAAAAGGATTGGATTTCTATCGAGTGTGTTCTAAAATGCTGACACCACCTCACATCACCTTGTGCTAACTACTCCCAAATTCCTCCTTCCTGCTCCCAGACAGAACAGGGATCCAGTACCTAAAAGCATCAAATCAGCTCTCCAGCACCCACAAGTGCCATTTCCCACCCCACACAGTCAGCAGCTTCCTCACAACCCACCTGAAATGACTCCATCCCAAACCCTTGACTTAAGAGAAACAAAACAACCCAAGCCAAAACACACCTGCTCAAGGAAAAACCAGAATCCCCAAGATTTCAGAGCTTAACAAGCTGAGAAAATTCCTTGATCTCCTCACATCCACCCAAGTTCAGCTGCTCACAACCAAACAGAGCAAGTTACAGATGTGCCTTCATCACTGGGAGAAGCTGCAAGTGGGTTATAAAGCAAAAGGAGGATCAAAGGCACCTCCAAGGGCATGGGAATCACCAAATTTCCTGCAGGAGCAGGAAACTTGTGGGTTCATCACAGTGTGCATAACAAGGTAAAAGCTGAACTTGCACACTTTATTCCCTTACATCCTGCAAAGGTTTATGAAAATTCAGCTCTTGTAAAATACAACAGGAAGGCCATGGATCCAGACATGGCAGGAAGCATTTCCCAAGAGCTGAAGGATGATTAGGGAGGGTGCAATTCCAGCATTTCCAAGGCACCAGGCCTGCTGGCAGCCTGTCTGGGGTCACTTACGTCCCCTTTTCTTGGTGTAGATGCAGGTGAGTGCCAGGTACTCCCACAGCTTCTCCAGCAAGTAGTCCAGGTTCAGTTTCATGCCACAGCTGCAAAACACCAGGGTCATTTGTTTACTGCTGCTGTGATTTAGGGATCCAGAAAAACAAGGTGAAATGTCTTTAATAAAGTGCTGGAGAATGAGGGGAAAGTCTTTAATGAGGCAAGGAAAGGAAAAATATAAGGTAAAATGACCTTAAACTGAAGGAGGGCAAGGTTAGATCAGATATTAGGAAGAAATTCCTTACTAAAGGGTGGAGAAGCACTGGAACAGGTTACACAGAGAGTTTCTGGGTGCTCCATCCCTGGAATTGTTCAAGGCCAGGCTGGATGGAGCCTGGAGCAAACCGATCTAGTGGAAGGTGTTCCTGCCCATGGCAGGGGTGGAATGAGATGAGCTTTAGGGCCCCTTCCAACCCAAACCATTCCATGATTCCAGAAGGGTGAACAGCTTTGAAGCAGCAAAGCCCCAGCAGATATATCAGCACTTCCAAGGAAACAAGCCAGATTGTTTGACTCTGTCCTGCAGACAGCACGGAGAAGCCAAGGTCCAGGGAAGGAAATCTGGGAAAAGCTGCACAGCAGCTCTGCTTCTCACCCCAGCAGCCCTGGGAGAAGTCCCTTCCTGGAGAATTCAAGAAAGGGGTGTAAAATGAACCCCACAGCAGGCAGAAAAGGCAATGAGGATGTCATCATCCTACCTGATGACAACACTGTGGGGCCTCCGAGCAAGGCGATCCACCTCCTCCATGGATATCTGATCAATCTTGTTATAAACCTAAAGCAGAGGGAAAACAACACAGCCCTTAGCAAGGCAACCCAGCAACATGTACAAAGAACAAGGTAGCTCCAGCACCTGAAACAGAAACACAGATCCTGTCAGAAGATAAGCCAAGACTCTCAGTAAAACAAACTATTGAAATTCAGAAGCTTGAATATAAATTTTTGGCCTTTTAAAATTCTCCCTTTGGGATGACTTGGAACACGTTCTTTCATTTTATACAGACCCAGTGGCTACAAACAGAGCCCTAGAGGGACCTCTGGCACACAAGGGAGCAGATGTGAGAAGTTAAGCACAGAGCTGGCAGCAGGGGAGTCAGAGGAGGCTCCACACGTGGGAGCAAAGCCCCAGCACCAGGATGGGAAACTCTGCTGCTCCAGGGCAGCACCAGCCACAAGAGGGCCCAGGAAACACACACAGCACAGCTGCACATCCAAAGCCTATAAAAAACTCCCTGTTGAGCTGTTTTCCACCTCTTAAACCCCAAATCGTTACTGTTTTAGGAGCCAGGAACAAGGGCATGGAGTAATAGCACAAGGGGGAATGGCTTTAAATTGAGAGGGCAGGGTTAGATGGGATATTGGGAAAATATTCTTCCCTGTGAGGACAGGGAGGCCCTGGCAGAGATTCCCAGAGCAGCTGTGGCTGCCCCTGGATCCCTGGAAGTGTCCAAGGCCAGGCTGGACAGGGCTTGGAGCACCCTGGGATAGTGGAAGGTGTTCCTGCCATGGCAGGGGTGGAGTGAGATGAGCTTTAAGGTCCCTTCCCAACCAAACTGTTCCATGATTCTGCGAAGTTCCAACATTTCCTCTGGCACAGAAAAGAGAAGCTGGGTGTGGCAGAAGCCAGGCTGCCCAGGATACTCACATAGAGGCATGGCATGTAGACCCTGTTTCCTACAATCACATCAATGAACTCGTCAGGGGAACAATCCTCTCTGAACAGGACCTCAGCGTTGAAGATTTCTGAGGTGGACACTGTCAAGGCCCAAATCCCAACACACCACACAGGCTGAGCTCCCTGGTGACAGTGCTGCCAGCCAGCCAGCACCAAAGGGACACCAAGGCTGTCCCACAGCACAAAGCACTTAAACCATGAGCTGCTGATGGCTTAAGGGTCTCCCTTTTTAGGAAAGGATACTGTATTCATGGAGGATGAGCTGAACCAGCTTCTCAGAGCACTGAGTCAACGTGACAGTGGAGTTGAAGGAGATGCCTCCACCCTTCTTGGGCTGCAAGAGGCAAAAAACAATGTAAGAACATTCTGCAAATCCCAGAGCCCCCTCAGCCTGTCCAGCACCACGGGCAGCACAGAGTGGGCTCAGCTTTGAGCAGACCAGCTGTGCCTGCAGGAGCTCAGGAAGCCTCACCTTGAAGTAGATATTTGGTTTGCTCTTGTTCAGCCGGATTCCTACAGATTCCAGTTCCTTCTCCAGCAAGGCCCTGCAGGGACACAGCACCTGTGAGGCTGTGGCCAGGTGACACCCAGACCTTTCCCTTTTTGATTCTTGTGTTGATACAGCCCTGCCACAAACCCCCATAATGCAGGTCAGTCTGTGGTGGCAATCCAGGCTGACATTCCCATCTATGACAGACGTGCTGTAGGAATTTCCCTCCAGCTGAGCAACCACTCCAGCCAGCAGGATGCTTCTCATGGGATACTGTAGCCATGATATTTTCTGGAAAATCCTTTCCTTAGGGATTTTTTCTCCTGAGAAGCCTCAGGAACAAAATGTAAACAACGATTATCTGCTGCTGTGGAATGCAACAGGTGCATCTGTGATTGGTCTCATGTGGTTGTTTGTAATTAATGGCCAATCACAGCCAGCTGGCTCAGACTCTCTGTGAAGACACAAGCTTTTGTTATCATTCTTCTTATTCTATTTCTGATAAAATCCTTTCTTCTATGCTTTTAGTATAATTTTAATGTAATATACATAATAAAATAATAAACCAAGCCTTCTGAAACATGGAGTCAGATCCTCATCTCTTCCCTCATCCTAAGACCCCTATGAACACAGTCACAGGATACAACCCCCATCTGGTACTCAATAATTGAACTCCTCATTCCCCAGGTGCTCTCCACAATTCCTCAGGGAGCTGGCACGTTTTCCAGCCCAGAGCCAGCCCACACTCACCTCTGCACCTCGCCCTTGGTGGCATCCAGCATCATGATAACAACATCTGCTGTCCTGGCCACGGCGATCACCTGCCGGCCTCTGCCCTTCCCTGGGGACACACGAGGGGGATCAGCAACAGCAACCAGCTCAGTTCTCTGACTAATGGGGACTCCTGCCCCTTGCAGCAGCTTGGAAGCAAGGAAAAACATCCTGCAGTGCTGGTCAGGCTGCAGTGAGCTGCTGGGAGCTCTGGCAGCACAGAGAGCTCAGCACAGAGGAGAGCAGTGCCAGAAGGGAATGGCTGGAGCTGTGTCAGGGAGGGTCAGGTTGGATGTTAGGAAAAGGTTCTTCCCCCAGAGGGTGTTTGGGCACTGCCCAGGCTCCTCAGGGAATGGGCACAGCCCCAAGGCTGCCAGAGCTCCAGGAGGGATTGGACAACACCAGGCACAGGCTGGGATGTGTTGGACACACAGGGTGGGATTGTTGGGGTGTCTGTGCAGGGCCAGGAGCTGGGCTGGATGATCCCTGTGGGTCCCTTCCCAGATGTTCCATGACTCCCTGATTTCCTGAGCTATTTTCAGACACAACCAGCCAGTGAAGACAATGACAGCACAGAGAGACAAAGCCAACATCTCTTCCCAGAATCAGGAGTCATGGGAGGACTGGCAGGAGCTCAGGGAATTACTCAAGGTTAGTGTTTAGCTGTAACTCTCCCTCCGCCTCTCCAGCATCTTTTATAGATTTCCTCAGTACCAGAAAACAGATGAGCCACTTAACACTCAGGCAAGGATGTGAGAAGTGACTGGCTTGCTTTGGCTCCCACCTCCAGAAAACCATCTTTGTGCTACATATAGACCCTTCTGTGGGCTCAGGGACAGGAATCGTGCCTCACATAGGATCAAGGACTCAAAAATTTGGAAAGACAATGCAGGAACTCTTGGCCCAGGAAAGCTGAGACACCCAGGGGCACTACTGAGGGCAAATCCCTCCTGCACATGAACACAGACATGAGCCAACCTTGAGCAGCTCCTTCGATGATTCCAGGCAGATCCAGCAGCTGAATATTGGCTCCTTTGTACTGAAAGGGAAATGGAAGGATGCAAAGTTGAAATCTTCCTGCAGGGCACCTGAGCTGCCCCAAATCCATGCTGGGGGTCCCCATCCTGTGGGAACTGGATGGAACTGGCAGGGCAGGGGAGCTCTGCACAAAGCTCATGGCTCTGTCCTGAGGCAATTCCAGAGCTGGGGGCTGTGCTCAGCAGCACACACAGCTTGCATTACATCCTGGCCCCCTAAAGCATCCTGTGACTGCAGCTGGACAGCACAGCAGTCACACATTCCCAAGTTCAGGGAATGGAAAGGAAAAACAACCCTTCTTTTATTGGTCTAATGAGAAAACTCAGTAATGAACAAGTGCCACATCTCTGACTGTGGCAGATCAAACTACTCAGGGGTGCTGCAGGTAAAAAAACCCAGGAGAAACTCATTCCTAGGATCTGCCAGGCACTGACACTCATTCCCTGGATCTGCAAGGCACTGACACTCATTCCCTGGATCTGCCAGGCATTGGCTCTCCAGCTGTTGCTGCAGCTCACAGCTCTGCTTGAATGTGCTACATGAAACTCCTTTTCCCACTAATACATTTACTTTCATTATTTAACTCCCCCTTCCATCCTGAGCCAGATTTCCTTATTACTCTTGGACACTTTTCAGTTTGATGCCCTTTATCATTTGCTTTACTGAGGGATGCTGAGGTCACCACTAATAAAATCCCCCAAGGACAGGCAGAGTTGCATTTTGTTTTGAAAGTGATCACAGCACAGATTGCCTCTGTAAAGCTTCATTAAAAACAAATCTGTCAAGGTTTGCAGCCAGCTGGTCACTGGCACTGACAGTGGTTATACAAAATTCAGTTGAGAATTGTGGGATTGCTCTGGTCAGTCCAAGAGCAGCACGAAAATCCTGCTCAGACAGCCAATCCTGGAGAGTTCAGGCAAGTGCTACATCAGCACTGAAAAGTTTAAAGCAAAATTCAGCTTTGGAGACTTCTGGATGTGTGTGCTCCTTATTAGCAGCACAATTGTCATCTTACTGCAGGGGTTCCATACTGTTGTCTCCTATCACAAAAGTTCCATACCTTCTTGGTGCTCCTTGTGGGCAGCTCCTCAGAGCACTGACTCTTTCTTCTTCATAAAGCAGCCAACTGACTCCAGTTCCCTTCTCAAGCAGCCACCCAACTCTTTTATAGCATCTTCTTCTCATTGGTCACAGCTGTGGCCTGTTAAAGTCAGGCCTGTTCCTGATCTTTGATAATTGGCCCAGCTGCAGCTCTTCAGGGGTGAGATTACTTTCTACACTATCTTTATTTTCTTATATTCTATCCCCCTACAAACACCTTGACAGAGCTGGAGGAGAGTCCTGCTCACCTCTATGACTCCAGGGATGCAGGTCAGCGTGGTGAACTCGTAGGACGCGGCTTCGCTGGCGGTCGAGGTCATTAAACTCAGAAACGTGGACTGAAAGGCAAGAGAGCAGCAGGAAAAGGAGAAGGTTCAGCAAAACAACAACACCAAAGTGCTCCTCAAGTTGTGCTGTGGCTGTTCCAGGCACAGGGACTGAGCTGGTGACACTGGCATGGAACTGAAGTAATTCAGATTTTTTCTTTGCTCAGCACTGCTGGGGCTGGACAAGAACAACGTTCAGGCAACAACAAATTCCACAGGGCAGAGCTCACAACATGAAGGAGTGTTTCCCATCTCCAACATTCAGCTAGATCACAGAATCATGGAACAGTTTGGGCTGGAAGTGACCTCAAAGCCCATTTCACTCCACCCCTGCCATGGCAGGGACACCTGACCCCACTGTCCCAGGCTGCTCCCAGCCCTGTCCAACCTGGCCTTGGGCACTGCCAGGGATCCAGGAGCAGCCACAGCTGCTCTGGGCACCTGTGCCAGGGCCTGCCCACCCTCATGGGCAAGAATTCCTTCCATATATCCCACCTAAATTCCCCCTCTTTCAGTGAGAACCCATTTCTTTTCCTGCCACTACAGTTCCTGACAAAGAATCCCCTTCCAGCTCCCCTGAAGCCTTTTCAGGAACTGTGAGGTCTCCTCACAACCTTCTCTTCTCCAGCCCCAGCTCTCTCAGCCTGTCTCCACTCCCCAGTCCTCTTTCCAACATTCCCACATCCTCCTCATGCTGGAGACACCACAACCATGCCCAGGACTCCAGGTGGGATCCCACCAGAGGAGCCTGAAGTGCCTCCAACCCAACCATTCCATGTTTGTGATCCCAAAGCTGCTCTGCAGCCCCTGCAAACCCCAGAGAGCTGGGGACACAGTGAGCACAAGCCCTGAGTGACCCCACAGGGAGCACAAGGCCTGACTGACCTTCCCCACAGAAGGAAATCCAATCAGTGCCACCCGGGCATCTCCTGATTTCATCACATCGAAGCCCTCGCCCTTGGCAGCCGGGGATTTGGAAGGTTCCAGAAGCTGAGCTCTGTATTTTGCAAGCTTTGCCTTCAGCAGGCCCAGGTGGTACTCGGTGGCTGCAATGACACAAACCCAACAGCTGGTTGGCACAAAGTTGCTGTGATTCACTTCTAGGGGTGAGAACCTTCCTGAAAGGAAAGCCTGGTGGATCTTGGTCAGTATCTCAGGCAGTGCCAGGCACAGAGCTGCTCCCAGCTGCCCCATCACCAACCTGGGCACTGAGAGCAAACCTTCCAGGGAGCTGCACAGGGTCAGAGTGGAGAGAAACAGCCAAAACATTCCTGAGGTAAAGGGGCAGGACAGAGGGAGAGCAGGTGCAGGAATGAAAGGAGTCTTGAGGAGAGAGAGGTCACGGGGGAGCAGCCCCTGCTGGAAACAGCCCCTCCTTACACCTGCTCACACTCAGCACCCCAAAGTGACCACATTACTTTCCCCTCCTCTTGTCAACTTTTAAAGACACATTTAACCCAGAGCTCATGTGTGAAAGTACTTTACTGCCTTATTCTTAGCAAGACACTTGAATCTACACCTGAACTAGAAAAAAAGGAAGGTGGTTGTCTCACTTTGTAACAGGTAAGGGCATGAAACCAGGAGCTCACAGGTTTATTTCTATTATTTACACAGCCCCAGCAGCAGCTCTGGGGGGAGCTCAGAGCCCACGGGGAGCCCCCAGACCACCCAGACACCCGGAGCCTCCTCCTGTGCCAGCAGGAATTGAGATGTTCCCCCCTCCAGCTCCGTGGGGGCTGCAGCTAGAGCACATGGAAGTAAAGAGAGCACCCCAGCCCCAGGGCTCACCCTGCTCCCCACCCTGCCCCAGCTCCCAGCACCCCCGATCCAGCGCTCTGTGCCCCCCAAGGCCCCCCGGTTTCACAACCTTCCCCACAGCCCCGACCGGCCCCTCTCTCCCCAGAGCCCCTCCCAGACACCCCAGCCCCGAGCCCCCAGGCTCTCTCCCAGCCCTCATAGCCCGCAGCCCCCCTGACCCCCAGACACCCCACAGCCCCCGGTCCCCTCTCAGCCCCCCATAAGTCACAGCCCACCTGTGCCCCCCAGAGCGCCCAGCCCACCCGCCCGCCCGCCCGCTGTCCCCGGCTCCCCCGGCCGCCCCCCGCACCTTTGTTCTTCTGCGTGCGGGCGATCTCCTTCTCGATCTCCGAGATCTTCTCGAGGATGCCCATGGCGGGCCCCGCTCCGCGCCCGCCGGAAGCGCCGCCGGCCCGGCCCGTCCGTCCCCGTCACGCGTCCGGGCCGCGCCGCGCTGCGAGCTCCGGCCGCGCCCCGAGCCCCGCGCCCCGCGTTCCGCCCGCCGCCACCGCGGGGCACCGGGAGGGTCCCCAGGGAGGTGACCCCGGTGGGGACAGGAGGGACAGGCTCAAAGGGACAGGGCTCAGAAAGCAGGAGAGTCCCTCAGCGGGACTGACTCCTCCTGCTCCTCTAATTAAGGCTGGATCCTGAAAGGAGCGCGGAGCCGGGAGGGATCGGGCTCTTCTCTCAGCCACTCAAGAGACAGGACACGAGGAAACAGCCTCAGGGGGCCAGAGGAGGCACAGGATGAGCAGCAGGAGGAATTTCTTCCTCAAAAGGGTGATTAGACATTGGAACAGCCTGTGCAGGGAGGTTGGTGAAGTCTCCATCACTGGAGGCGCTCAGGGAAAGACTGGATGTGAAAAGGTGGGGATGGGTCACAGGCTGGACTCGATGCTCTCAGGGGCCTTTTCCAGCTTGAATGATTCTGAGAGTCTGTGAATTAAGGCCACCAGAAGCTGCTGGGATTCCTGGAGAAGCCCTCAAGGAGGGAGATGAAGCACAGCAATGCCCTGGAACCAGAAGTGCTGTGGTGGACAAACACACACGGACACAGACCCCGTCAACAGAATTCATGTTTAATTTGGACGTTGATCGCTCCACAAAGCTTCTCCTTGGCCCCCACATGGACACCCTGCTGCAGCCAGAGTGGTTCAAGAGACACCACACCCTCTCCCAAGCCCAAACACCCCATTTTCCACCTCTGCCCCCCAAATCCTCCCCTGGGCCACTCTCTCACCACACCACGACGTACAGAACATCTCCCCTCAACTCAAACAGGTCAAAGAAAAGGAAAAAACCAAAGCAAAGGCCTTTGAGGAGGGAAAATCCACACACCAACAGCCCCTGCAAAACCCTCAGCTCCACAACCTGCTCTGCACCTGCACACATCACATCCAGACAGCCCTGGATCCAAGCTGAAATTCCCTTCAGGATGGGGCGAAGGAGGCAGGCACAGAGCAGGATGCTCTTTCCACGCCTTTCTCACAACATATCAAGTCTTAAAAAAACCCCAACTTCATTGGTTTAGGGATAGTTACAAGGTTACAAGTGTTAAACACCCCCAGGACCATCCCAACTGAGCTTCTGGCAACCAACGGGGTTAATTCAACCCAACCTTATCAGAAATCCAAGTGTCCCTCTGCCACTGACAGCCCTGGGGAGCACAGGGACACCGGTGCCACCACCAGCATTGCACTGACAGCCCCAGAGGGATGGGAAGAGCCACTGGAGCTGGGTCCCTGCACTCACACAGCACCTGGGAGGGAGGTTTCACCCCCACATTGGTCACAGTGGAGCAGCACCACTGTTTTCACCTCTAAAAACCAGGAAATGTCCCAGCACCACCCTCTCCTCCAAAGGGGCTGAGTTTCTCCGAGAGCAAATTAAAACAGGAACACATTCCCCAAGTGCTCTGCTACAGCCCCAAATCACCTCAGTGCTGTCCCTGCACATCCTCCAGCACAGCCAAGGCACAGCCCCAGTCCCTGGCAAGGGCCAGGTGTCTCCTCCTCCCTCTCTCCCCCAGGTTTCTCTGCCCATGTGGGTGCCAGGGAGAAGGAAGGGCTGATCCACGGAGAGCAGCACGAGCGAATTCCGCATCATCCCCCGAGACCAAGCACTCCAAACCCAACCTGGAACAGAGGAAAGGGCTCCCCAAGCCCTCAATCCTTCCTCAGTAAGGCTCAAACAAGCAATAACTGCTGCCAAAGGGGAAATTAGTTAAAAAGAAGCAAAACCCAAAGCACCTCACACTGGCTTCAATCCCCTCTCCCAGGTGGGAAATCCATCCTCAGCACCAGCCGTGCCACACGCCTGCCTGGAGGGAGCTGGGCTTTGAAACAGCCAGAAAAAAAGGCAAACTAAACTCTCACAAAGCCCCACAGGTGGGGCTGACAAGGTAAAAACACAACTGAGGCCAAGTTTTTAAAGTGTCTTTAAAAAAAACCACCCCACACACACACACGCACGCTTTGGCACAGGAGCCTTAAGTTCTGTCACTTGGAACATTCAGAGCCAGAGGGAGCTACTGAGAAGGGTTATTTTTTAAACTTTTTATCTTCTTTTTCCTTGTAAAAAGGTGTCAAGCAGTGGTGGTGAAGCATGAAGGGGGAGTACAAACGTTGAGCAGTCCCAGGGTGATGCTGCTCAGCGTTTGTGCTCGGGTTATGTTCCCAAAGCTTAGCTGGATACAGACACAGATATAAAAACACAGACATTCCTGGTTTTCAATGTGAAAACAGTAACATGGAATCCAGTACTTGTGCATTTGCCATAGGGTCCTTTGGAAAAGGAACCATAAAAATAGATTTTTTTTTTTAATAAAAGTTTTTTTTTTTGTCTTTTTTTTTTTAACTTTTTCTTTTTTACCCTTAACTTAAGTAAAGAGCAAATATACACCTACAAGCAGAGTTCAGATCCACTTTTACTGAGAGCCTGGAAGTCCTTACATCAAATTAATTCTCAATGGTGTATCCAGACACAGGAACAGCTCCCAGCTGCAAAGGGCTGGTGCTCCTGAAAGATCTGCAGCTCCAGCTAACCTTGTTAGCCAGCAAAGCCTCACTCCAGCCTTACCTCAGCCAACACTCCCCAACAGACTCCACAGCTGAGCCTCACACCCAGGACCTGGCTCTGAGAGCATCAGAGCTGGAAATCTGGGCAAGAAACCTGAATCCTGGTGATTTCAACCCACATCAGGATATAACAAGGATAATATAAGCCTTGAGCTTACATTTCCTTATTATTTAGAGGCCAGAGCACTGATTCCAGCTACTGAGAAAACAGCTTCCAGAGGAGAGCCGGGAGGAACTTCAGTGACAGAGAAACGAGCTGTGCAACAAGAAAGTGCATTAAAGTAGCTTAAAACCAGAGCAAAGATCAAATGGCCACTCGACAGGAGGGAGAATCAAGCTCCAGCAGCTCCTCGGGCTGGGTGAGTTCACATCCAGGCTCTCTTTCTCTCTCTCTGGAGTCCAAGGGCAGGAGAGAAGCGTGCATTGCCGTGCTCCCACAGGGACACGGCTCTCCTGGCAGGCCATGCTCTCCTGCCCCGTGTCTTCGGGGCGTTCTCAGCCGTGGGCAGCTGTCATCGGAACTCGTAGATAGGAGCGCTGTGCTCGGGAACGTGCGTTAAATTCAACGACTGATACCTGCCACAGGAGGGAGACAGGGAGGAGAGAGGGTGACACAGAGATCCTGCTGGGCAGCCAGAGAACACACACTGCTGCCTGCTCTTCTCTCCCCCTTTACAGTCCCAGGGTGTTCAGGCATCCAACACCCACTTCCCACAGTCCAAAACCCTGCCAGGACTCAGCATCGCTCCTTATTGTCCCTCCTGTGCCTCATCATTTCACAATTCCCCGACTGGAAGGTGCAGCCAGGTGGGGGTCAGGCTCTTCTCCCACAAAACTGGTGATAGGACAAGGGGAAACAGCCTCAAGTTGTGCCAGGAGAGGTTCAGGTTGGATATGAGGAAAAAATTCCTCACTGAGAATTGTCCCTCTTCGTCCCTCCTGTGCCTCATTGTTCCACAACTCCCTGACTGGAGGGTGCAGCCAGGTGGAGGTCAGGCTCTTCTCCCACAAAACTGGTGATAGGACAAGGGGAAACAGCCTCAAGTTGTGCCAGGAGAGGTTCAGGTTGGATATGAGGAAAAAATTCCTCACCGAAAGAGTGGTTTAGATCTGGAATGGCCTGCCCAGGGAAGTGGTGGAGTTACCATCCCTGGAAGTGCTCAGAAATCAAACACACATTCCATTTAGGGTTTAGTGGGAATGGTGGTGTTCAGTCAAAGGTTGGACTTGATGATTTTGGAGGTTTTTTCCAGCCTTAATCATCCTGTAATTCCCACTCTGGTCCCTCTGAGCCACCTGCAGCAAGGCAGCATTCCTGGTGGGCTGACTGTGGTGTTCCTTTGGACTCCCTTTGAAGTTAAACAACTTTCAAGTTCAAACAGAGTTTGCTACAAGTGCAAATTACATGAGTCTTTCAAAGCTCAGCTAGAGGGAATGTGTCTGAAAGCCTCCTGGTTCCTTCCCTCCCCCTGAGAGCTTCCAGCCATCCACCTGCTGCTCATGACAATGATGCAAGGGGAAAGAGCTCTCCACAGCTCCTTGTCTCCAACAAAAACCCCACCAATTAGCTTTGACTGTTTTCTTGTCTTAACAGCAACACCCCAAGGACCTCAGAACACAAAACATTGGCCTGACAAGATTTCTGCCTGAAGGGAGCAACAGCCAAGCTGTTCCTGAGGAAAGAGAACCAAGCTCCTTCTCCAGACCCTGTGTCATCTTCCCTCTCCATCCTGCCACCCCAAATTTCTTCCCCTCTTCCATAAGGGCAGGACTTTATACCACCCCAATGGACTGCACCAGCCAGCTCAGGCCAGCCACGGCCCACAGCCCTCCCTTCAGCCCCACCAGCCTGAATCTCCTGCCTGGACACTCCCAAGGCTGTGGACAAGCAGGAGAGGAGTCACAGCTTGGTTTAAGCCTTCAGGAGGCAGGAAACTCCCTTACCATTCTGAACTCCTATGGTAGTAATAGCCCTCTATAGATGCTGCTGACTTCTGGAAGCAGATGTAATAGAAACCAGCAAAGGAAGCACCACTGATGTCCTTGATGGTGTGATCTGGGACTAGGAACTGCTCCTGCATTCAAAACACAGGCTGCATCTTAAAATGTTGGTCAAATACAGCCCAAACCCACCCCAATCTGCCCCCCCCCACACCAAATACTGGCACCCACTAACATGAAGACATTGCTGGTTGAGCACTCCCTGCACTCTCAGCAGCCCAGAGCAGAGACCAGAGTGTCCCTTCACTCCTGCCCTGCAGGGACCTCACAGGGAAGCAGATAACTGAGAACAGAATGAGTTTTAAGAGTGCAAGAGATCAGTTTCAACACCTG